ATTCCACATGGTAATGATACCACCAAATCTACCAGACGAGTTCTGAGCTATCCAGTCCCTATCATTATTCCTCCATAGGCTATAAGCAATACCAGCCTCCATCTTAATTATCTTGGTTTCTTGAATAAGGCATATGTCAGCACTACCTCTTTGCAGAATTTGAGAAATTCTCCTTCTCTTCAAAGAACTACAGCATCCTCTAACATTGAAAGAAACAATATTCATGGACCACCTGTAGCTACATCCTTCTTGCAGGACCTAACTTCCTTATCTTCCTTATCCAATTTCCTCAGGATACGCCCAATACCCTCTTCATCATCTCCCTGAACACCTAATTCCTTTAGATAATTACTCAATTTTGATGGAACGTCTTCAATGGCCCTTCTGCATAGACAGCCCCAAATCCACCACCAACTCACCATTAAGAACGAGTAACTCATTTTCCACTTTGTTCTGGTTTAGTTCTAAGTCAACCACATGGTTAACTAATTTGATTCCTTCTGAACTATAAAGAGCAGCAGGATTCTTGTGGCTGCTCCCTCTTGACCCATCACCTTCCATACTTAGCCCTAAGTTATCTCCAACAACAGACACGTTATCAGACACAGAGAAATCATAGTCTGACCCTTGAACCTTAACAGATGGGACTCTGTCTTCTGGCTCGGTATTCGAGAAATTGGATTCACTACTCTCTTCCTCTTCAGGCACCTCCCACGCGCCATCAATGTCTGAAGGAATTGAGGAATCATAATCTTCAGAATCTATCACCTTGTCTTCTTCGCCAAACAAAGAAGCTCCACACCCTCACGAGAAATCTTCAGAAAAAGTTAATGAAAAGGTGTGGCTGTTCACTTCAACATCAATCATGTTGTTCAGGATGACCCCTAAACTTGTTTTAAGCATAAATCTCACTACGTCCATACAATCGTTTTTCCTAGTCTTCTCATTACATTTGACAAACGTTCTCAGACTTGAAGAGATCAACCGAAAATTATTATCACTCCAGGCGACACAAGGTAGACCATAGCACTTTATCCACACAAACCTACCTCTATGAATCTCCTCCAAATTCCAAATGTGAATGTCTCTGAACCAAATATCCAACCATTCACTAGACTCCTTAACAAACTCCTCTATGTCACCACCAGAAGTATCTTCCAACAAGCACAGGGATGCTCCCAAGGGAGTAGCCTTAATATTAAAATAACCTTCTGAATGTTGAACGCGTTTCCATCTTCCATGACTTCACCCACTCTCATTCGTTTTAACCTCCTAAACCATTCATCATCCACCTCTAATTTTGTGTAGGATCCTCCTCCCATGACCTTTCTGTCAGGCTTAGGATCAGCACCTCTTACCACTTTGACAAACAACCTATCCAAAGTATCGAATTTCTCGTACCTACTTGGGCGACCTGTTTGGTTAATCTTCCTCAAATTCTCACTAACCGGAAATTGCCTCTTATTTTTCATACTAAACCTGGGAATATTAACGAACAACTTCTTTCCTTCCAAGACAATAATATCAAGGTTGCAGGCAAGAATTCGGGAATCATGAACTTTCTGGAATTTAGCGAATCCAAATATTTTACCTCGTTTATCTCGCCTAGCAGAAATGGAAACTTCTGAGATGACTCCATAAACCTTGAATACCTCGAACAGGTCTTTAGCATTCATCTTCTCTGGGAACTCAGTAACGAAGAAGGACGTCGTGATTTCGCCAGAAATTGCTCCTTTCCCATTGTTCTCCTTCCAAACTGAGAATCCACCACTTCCACCCTTTCTATCTTGATTTTTGTTGTTTCTGTTTGAAGCTCACGAGTTCAGTTTTGATTTTTCAACCATTCCAATCTAGATATAACAACGTGGTGTTTGAATCCAAGGGAATCTCTTGGTTCCAAAGATTAATATCTGTTTGGATTTAGTATGTTTTATTTCAGTGGATCCTTTTTGTTTTTTGAATTCATTGGTTTTTTACTAAATTGTTTAGCGATTTGAAGTGAACTGATTAGATTGTTCGTTGTAAGGGTTGTTTTGGCATGTGTAGGATAGATTCGTGATGTTTCTTCTCAGTTCATCGCCGGTGCTTTTTGGTTCTGATGCTAGCACTTCAAATTTCGTTCCGCTGCTTTTGAGGTCTTAGTTATTCTTTGGTGTAGTAAGATCAAATTAAGTCGGTGGATTCAAATTAATTGGAATTCTGGGTTGGCTTCTGGTTCCATGAAGCTTCCCTAAGACTTGATTGAGATACGTATTCACCAGTTGCTAAGCTCGCTACATTCAGACTTCTTATAACACATGGTTTCATTCATAGATGGCACCTACATCGGCTTGATGTATACAAAGCATTGAATTACATGAGAGAGAGAGAGAGAGAGAGAGAGAGAGAGAGAGAGAGAGAGAGAGAGAGAGAGACTTCAGTACTTGATCCGGAAACAGAATAGTAATATTCATTCGCCCTCACCGCCACTGCGCTTTCTAATACACTGCAACTTTCCGCCGCTGCCACTTCATACGTCGTTGTCGCCACTGCGTCTGCTCTTATCTATGACTCTTGCCCTCCTCTTTGTTATGTAAGGTCATCTTTCTCTTGTATGAATATTTTGATTTTAGGATTTTCATTTTGGTGTTAAATTTATTCATTTTCTAGTCTTAAGGGTCGTTTCTCTTGTAATGAAGTTATTGATATTCTCATCAAAATCATTTACTTTAATGAATTATCCGTCCTTACTTTATAAGTTACAAAATCAATCTAGCCACAAAAATGTACACCTACAGTAATATTAATTTGGATTCTAGAAACCAATGATGGGTTTAAGTTTTTCGTAGATGATAAATTCCGTCTGTTTGAGTGTACTGCATGAGTTTGAATTTATGAATCCGTTTGGCTTAGAAGCTAAAGTCAATTGTTATTTAATTTGATAACTTATGTTCTGGTATCAGTAGATAATTTCCAAAACTGCATTTATCAATTGATGCTTTTGAAACTAATTTATCAATTGATACTTTTGAAACTAGTTTATCAGTTAATGATTTCCATTTGTGTTTTTAGGATTGATGTGGAAAGGGGGTGGAGAAAATGATATCGAACCTCTACAAGTAGAGTATATTTGGAATCAATCCAAAAAGTTACAAAGCATAGGCAACTTGACGGAAAGATCATACATTGTGTTAATTAAGTAAATTTATGATAATATTCTGACTACTTTATTGTAATTTTAGTCTGTATGTAAAAATTATATTAGAAGCTTGACTTCTCTCCAACCATGTTTGGTGTAATTTATAGTGAAAGTTCAGCTATATGTTCTTGCATCAAGTCTCACTCTTATTCTCTTTCGATTAGCGCTATCACGCATGCAATTTATACACCAGTTATCTTCATGGCAGTTATTCTCTGTGCAACATTTATAAATGATATTATTGTAATATTTAACGGTATACGAAAATATTAATTGAAAATTCGGATTGAAAAATTTTAAAGTATATAAAAGTAAAAAGTTTGTTCCAACATACAATTTTATTTTAAAGTGTTACTTTTCTAATAATTTAATTTTTCACTTTACATTTGATGTCATTTATTTTTTCACTTCTTACATTTCAAGTCACTTAGGACTCTTTGTCAATCACATTTTAGTGTTTTTTTTTTCATACACTTTTAATCTAAACGTCGTTTTAGTTTAAGATATTTACAGTTTAAGTAAATTCTTCTTAAATTTTTTTCAATCAATTTCAGTCCTAAAATTTAAATTCAACTCAAAAATATTTTCAAAATCAACCATTCATTAAGTTGTTCGACAGAGAAAGTAAGTCAGCAGTGATTCCCAGCACGAGTAACAATATGGAAGTAGCGGAAACCCTAATGTAAGACGTGGAGAAGTCTTAAAGCTCCAGCTTATGAGGTTATTCGTCATCAGCTGCGGAATTTTGTATCAGGAATTTAAGAGTTCCGAGGAATCCAGTGCATGCAGAGCCTTAATGGTTTCCGAGTTTGCTTGTGGCGGCAGAAGGTTTAAGTCAAAGCATCTCTATGGCTTTGATTCTTTGAGCATCTGTTGATTTTTTTTTGTTTCCGTTTGAAGCTCGCGAGTTCAGTTTTGATACCCTTGACTATTGTAATTAAGCCATAAAATTTGAGCTTGATACCCTTGACAAAACTAACACTTGGGAATTCATTGACCTTCCACCCAAAGTTAAATCAATATGATGCATATGGGTTTACAAAATCAAATACGAGTTAGACGACACAATAGAAAGGTTTAAGACAAAGCTAGTTGCCAAATGTTATAACCAAGTAGAATGTTTGGATTATTCTGATACATATTTCTAAGCTCACTACATCCAAGGGGAAATGCATAAACGCCTACAAAGAAAAGGAAAAGTATTGTCTATACATGAAAAGTATGGATTGTAAGATTTTATTTTCAAATTAAGATCATAAAATAGGAAAGATCAAGAGGAATACAATTATAATTTATAACAGTAGTATAATTCCACAGGGTGTCCAATGTTTCAGTAGAAAGAATAAAACAAATAGTACCCAAGGCCTAAAGAAACACAAAGTGAAAGGAAGAAATAACTAAGATAATCATAATTAAGCCTCTTTTGATATATAATTGATAAATATAAAAATTGATTGATTCTGCTCTTCTGAAGTCCACAGACCTCAGCCATTTTCCGGCAATATTCCATTCAAGACATTCACATTGCCATGATTTCAATAGGTTGCATGAATTTACCATCATTACTAAACTTAAATTATTTTTTTTATTATGACTATTTGATATAAATACATGTCAGCCTCTTCGCATGGTTTTGTTAACTACTAGTAAAGAAAATGGACAGGTAAAAAAAAGAACACAGGAGAAAGAAAAACCTTACTTAAAATGGGTTGATTTTGCATTCAAGCTCTGCGTGTGCCTCATTCAATTCTGACAACCAATATTTGATAACCAATTCAGGAAAATAAGAATGCATCAAAAGTAAAAAATAAAAGGTTTCAAATTATATGTTAAGATGTTCATCTCTTGGCAAGCTTTGAACAGTATTTGACCATCTACCTGGTGAATGATCACTACTATTATTATATGAGACATGAGTTTCCCCTCTTGCATCTCTTATCATCTTTAGAAATTTTCTAATTGTAGATCTATTCTCTGGACTAACTAAAACACATGCCATTGCAATGTTCACTTCATTGCCTGATGAGGCAGGATCATCTCTGGACTCGATCTCTTCTTCACGTACTGACCGAACCCATATAGGTATATATGAACTGTGCGCCTGAACAAGGTCTTGATAGGCTGCTTTTCCTGTCAAAAGCTTGAGGAGAAGGACACCAAAGTTGTATACATCAGCAGATTGAGGTTGTGGGCGTTGAAAACTGCGGCACTCGGGTGCTCTATAGAAAAAAGAAGTGGCACTTGGTTCATCGATTGTTTTGGGATTGAGGAACACGTTGAGACCATAATCGCTGAGACAAGACTCAAAGTCGGAACCAAGTAACACATTAGAAGATTTCAGGTTTCCATGTGTCATGTCAGGTTTTTGGTGGATATAGAGAATGCTTGTTGCTAGATCTTTGCGATTTTAAGACATGATGTCCAGTGAAGAGGTTTTCCCCCATTAGATGTTTTCGATCCTGCATTTTACAGTCATCAATTTTTCAACAGATCCTCTGGTACAGATATTACTAACATTAGTATTACAGCAATGTCAAAATACATAAGTTTTAATTCAATTTACTTCCTTAACAAAAGAAAACACGAATGTTGTTGATAGTTGAATCTATAAAGAATTGTTTCACAAAAATTGCATCTATATTTTGATTCTAAATTGATTATTCCAATATAGTCACGCAACAAATACAGACAATTTCAATCATATGATAAAAATGTATACCACTTTTACAAAGAACAAAATATGGTAAACCAACATAGACTAAAGAAGCTCAATAACATTAAACAAAGAAAGAAAGCAACATAATACACTTGAGGATCCTAGCAATTGGCATGATTGGTTACTTTCTAGTCTTGGACATTATGATTCTTCTATTATTTCTTAGAGAAAAAGAAAGCTAACATGTTGATTTGTTAAATGCACAGCCACAAAGTATTTTATCTCGCCCTTTACTTTAATGAACAAAAGAGTTGTTCCATGGTTAGGTATAATGCTTATGCTTTTTGCTCACTTTTTGTGTTTTTTAAATTATAAAATCAAAATCAAAATTACACTCTGCTATGAAATCTGCATCAGGTTATTTAAAGTATGTGAAAGCGTAAGTATACAATATGAATTAAATGAAATATTACAAGCATAAATGATGTCAATTACCAGGCCTGCATCTTGCTGAAGCATAAATAGATTGTTCAGCAAATATAGATGTAAAACTTGACCCTATCACATGCTTATGTGACGTGTAGCCAAAGCTCTGGTAAGATTCATATATATTCTCTGCATTTAGGTAATGAAAAGGAACATAATGAGTTATATGACACTAATTATCATAGGAAAGGTAAAACCATCTGCAAGCTGGATAATTTTCGTATTTGACACACTTTATAATGAAGGGGAGATGTGCTTATTATAGAAATCAACTCACATTTTTTCCAAGCTCCAGCCACACCATTCATAAGCTAGTAACTCTACAGATTTAGGCCTTACAAAAAAGATAGAGGGAGGAAGTGATGGAATGAAAGTAATATTATAACTAAAAGGAGGTCTACACCTAAAAACCACCATACGTTATTGATTTTTCATGTAATTGGCCTTTCCCTGGTTGGACAGTGGATCAAAGCCAAAAACATACAAACACAAATTGTGAAACAGAGAAAAACACTCAAAACTATGAAAACATGGTAGTTGAGGTCCAAAACAGTCAAATACAGAACCAACACCTTCAACCTACAACTACATGAATGATGCATTCATGGGACACCCGATCTTGAAAGGCACGACAACTACATTTTAACTGTACCACACAGAATAATCTAAAATCAAATAGTTCCTACGACATTAATTGACAGGGATTGTGACAAAAGTTATCAGAAAATAAACCTGGTCCAAAATCGAAAAGATGGACCAAATCGGCGTCATCATCGTACTTACTGGCATCAGAGACTCATCGGCGTCGTCATCGTATTCCCAAATCGAAAATATGGATACCTCACGGCTACTGGACTCATTCTTATTGGCATCACCAAATTAATCATCGGCGTCATCATCATGCTTATTGTAATAATCCATGGCAGCAACATCGATGTCACCACCATAGATATCTTCACCGTCGAGCAACTCCATGTAATTGGTGTCGTGTGTATCATCCTTGGAGTCTATCGAAGATGGATGAAAATAAAGTTTGAGGAAATTTCTGAAATAAATATCCAAAATCGAAAATCAGTGAAGTGAGAGAAAGGAATAAATCTAGGGCAAGAGAAAATTGGGAATTTGAAGAGAGAAGAAATTGTGGGTTAAGTGTAAAGTTTGTTGAATTCAACATTGGTTACGCTAGAAAAAAAAGAATATGAGAATGTCTCTGCAATTATATAAACTTCATATTTAATTTTTATAAATGAAACTAGTAGAATACCATTGCGGTAAAACTAATGTGTTATAATAGAGATAATTTTTTTTGATATATATAGAAATCAAAAGGTAAGAAGAGCATATTGTCTGTTATATTCACAAAGATCTGAAACCAAAAGGTTAATATAACACTGCTTTTAAACATGAAGTAAGTAGTTTCTCAACAGCACACCAATAGATAGAGACATATCTAATACACCAGTAGATAGACTAAGTTGTTGATGTACTTAACATTACATTAATGAAGTCAACAAAATATTAAAAAGCATAAAAAATGGAGCCCTGCATAAGATGATCACTCCTTCTTGATGTGCTTAACCTTCGTTGCAGATTGTCGTGGAGTTAAGACTTCATCTTGCAAAATGTCATCTAGAGTGGTTGGGACAACAACCCTTTTAGCAGGGGTGTTGCTAGAGCATGTCAACGGGCTGCAATCACTCTTGGCAGAAGTGGGTGGTACTACAGAAAAGCTTTGATCAACTGAATTGCTTGGCTACAAATGACACAAGTAATTTGTAACTACACAATGAGTTATAATAAGCATACTCATATATAGTGTTGTTAAGGACATATGAGTAATGAGTTAGACATACAATATATTCATTTTGAAGGCCGACTCCAACATCAGTGTCCATGATCGATAATGCTGCTTTTGAAGTTTGATGGTACCATATGAGTTACAAAATATATTGAATAATAGATGATTATGACAGTAACTTATACTTTCAACAAATATATAATTAAGACAGTAACTTAAGTCATGCTAAAGAATACAACAAACCTTGTTGAGTTCACAAATTTGGCGGATACTCTTGACCTTATTTAGTTGTGCCCATTTTGTGTTAGATTGTACAAATGAATCTGATGTTTGGGTGAGAGAATGAGACGGAGAATGGTTGATTGGGTAGCTGCTAACATGTTGCATCATCTAAATGCAAAAGACATTAAGGTTGTGCAAGTAAATTGTGAAGTCATAAAGTACAGAAATAATGCATAGTATAGATGACAAAGGAAAACCATGAACATGGAAAACAAAAACAGAGGAAACAAATAGTGCAGTAGAATTTACAGATCATGAGTTTACGTAATATGAACACAAACACCATATCAGTTACATATGAGAACCATGACAGAGAACAACTTGCAAAAAAAATAGACTTGCACTACCTCCCAATCGAGGCTGAAACCTCACTTCTGCACTACCTCCCTGAAACAAATGATTGTGATGAATGTTAGAGACACATAACATTGTAGAAAATGGATATTTCAATAAGATAGTACTCAATTATAGCCTGGTGGTGCTTATCTCTAGATTTAACCGGAGCATATATCATCGAAAACTACAAACCTATATCCCTTAAAATTAACATTAAAAAGGCATTAGATACATAAGATTGTACATTTTTATCAATCATTTGGGTATAATCAAGTGTTTTGCTCTTGGATACATACTAAAAGAATGACAGTGTTTTTAAAATTATTGTAAAAGAATGAGATAATGACGATGAGAAGCAATTTTACATGGCAAGTTCGTACAGACTTGGAAACCCATTTTTGCAACAGAACCGAAACATCATTTGCAAATTATATTTATGAAAAAAAGTTGATTTTTTGAGAAAGGAATGAATGATATTGTTTACCTTGCTTGCTTCAAAGAGAGATCATGAATGGAAGCTTCTCGTTGGTGTCCTTGCGGTTTACAAAACTTTGCAAGTGGAAATGGAAACAGTAAAAATTGGAGCTAGGATCGTTTCCTTTTCTAAAAGACAACTTGCTCGATTATCTTCTTCAACACATAAGAGTATCATTGAGATTCATGCTCCATTTATCAAAATCATCATGCACTGTTAATTTTCAGCAGTAGGAAGACAACTATGTTAGGGTTTGAGAAAAAGATAGAGCAAAGAGAAAGAGAGAAAATAGAGAAATGTGGAAAAGGTGAGAAAGGAGTTTTGAAAAGGTGACAACAATATAGAGAAGACTTTGAATAAAAACTAGTAGAATATCCGTGCTCCCGCACGGGTAAAATTAATGTGTTATAATAGAGATAAATTTTTTTATATACATATGAAATGCTAAAATAAATATAGAAATCATAAGTTGCACCAATGAAATAGTAATTCAAAGAAAAATGAATTGTATTGCAATTAAAAAGAACTTATCCAAAATTTTCAATGTATGAATAATATCATAATTATGAATAAAATTTAAGTGCAAAATTAAACATTAGATGGCAAATAGTGATGATGCATAATAGCTCGAAAAATGATTTGAAATACTATATATGTTGTGGTATTTTAACAATTTTTTAGGACCAATTTGTAAACTGAAAGTTAATTTTGTAAACTGAAAGTTAATAATAATATAAATACAATCCATAAAATAACAATGTCCGCAGAGTGCCTTTTATTTTGAAAGTCGTGTGATAGTAGGAGTTTTAGTGCTATTAGAAAGTCATGTAAACTCAAACCGAAAACTACAGCAAGGGCTGCACGCACAAAACTCCAACATTCTAATAGCAATTGTAAACTCAAAATCTCCAATTTAATGCCCAAGCTTAACGCAGCAGCAGTAACACAAGGCAACTATTCACATGATTTTTGGCGCAACAGCAATTTGTTTCGTACACACGCCATAAACTAAACCAGCTAGCAATTACATTAATACCAAATATTTCAACTTCAGCAGCAATTGAATATATGCAATGTTCATTAAGCCACCGACATTTAAAGCTGAACCATCTTGAAGATAATACACACATAAAAGTTGTAGTTCTGAGATTTTCGGGAAAAAAAGGGACAACCGAAACAACCAATATGATACCGGTAACACATACTTGGAACACGCAACGACAATATGTAAAACAATATTAATCTAATATCGAGATTGTAACAACCTTAAGTTACAACCACATTAACCCCAAGTCAGAATAAAACACTACTCAAACCATTACT